AGTAAGCTTACTGGGGTTATAAAATTTTATGATTTCCAAAATATCCAAGCCTTTCTCCATTTAACAAAAATAAGGAAAAAAAATGTTTTTTCTAATATTGAGAGTAAGTACTATAAATATGAAATTTTTTTATGATTTTCAATCTTTTACACTATGAATACAAATAGGTAAAGGGACTTATTTCGTATTTTGAAAAAATTGTACGTTTAACTGTTCTTCTATTTTTTTTTTCTGTCATAAAATAAACAATTTTTACAACCTTCCAAATAGAAAATTCAACCCTACCTTAGAATTTATGGCTCGTTTTGAAAATTATTTTTCAGTTGTTAATCAGTCTTGCTCGATTCTACATCTACTGGTTTACTTTGCAGTCGTGTAATTTTCTGAGTAATAATGTCATTCTCTTTAATTCCAAAAAAAATTAAATTATCTGACGACAAAAAGTGTTTATTTTGTGATCATGGCGAGGCGTTAGTGAAGTGTCCGAAAATTAAAAAATGCAACTATTCGTCGAAACGATAACGTGACTATGGGATTTAATTTGTTGTTTAATGAAAATACTGGTGAACAATCTTTTTCGTGGCATATTATTATAACGTAAAAAAAAACATAACAAACAAAATTTGGAAAATTTATTTAGATAATATTGTTTATTATAGTTTGAATATTCGGCAAAAAATTTAAAATTATAGCATTTTAAATTTTAAGGTATATTATTTAATTCAAGAAAATTAGAATTTTCGTCAATTTTGGATTTTAAAAAATTCATAACAATTAAAGGGTTGAAGATACGATGATGGGCGTAAGGACTTTTTTTATTCGAAACATGCAAAAAAATATAAAAAAAAATTAATTCATTTTAAAAAATGCATTTTTTCTGGCTTATTTAATTTTTCGTTGTTTAAGCAATAACATCAACAAATATCGAGTGTCATCTTAAACTTTTATAATCAGGAAAGCCTTCCGGACATTTAAAAAAAAATAATGAATTAAAACAATTTTGCAAACGAATGCGCCAGTATGCTCTGGTCTATTAATAAATATTAGTACTTTAAAAAGGAAGTCATGGCAGCTGCTTACTTTTTGTTTTAATTCTTATTTTTTAATCTTCTTTGATAGATTCTTGAGTTATTAGGTGTCTATAGATTGTATCTGGATATACTTTTTTAAGTAATGTATTTTTGGTTTATTTATAGCTCTGATCAGTGCCTTTCTCAATAATATTTAGTCACTTGAATATTTTTCCATTAACGTTGTTTTTTTTTTGTTAGTATTTTTTCATCTTTGTTTTAACTTTTTTATTTTTACTTTAAGTTTTACGGTATCTACAAGAATTTTTTTATTTTTATTGTAAGTTCATGTCTACTATTTTTTTAAGCTTACCTTGGGTACAATTATGGTTCGTATCTTTTCTTAAAATTTAATTTTTTTTATATTGTTATTAGCGGTGTCCGTTTTTTATGTATTTTAGTTTCGTGTACGGTTCTGGTGTGGGCCACCAGTTTTTTCGTTTTGTGGCCCTCAGTTAATAAATACTGCGGCATTTTTGAAAATTTATTTGACCTAATTTTTAAGAACAGTCAAATTTGAATGCGACGAACGCAAAGTTTAAGAGTTATTGTTCCTTTCATCAGAAATAATTTGTCGGCATATTACTCCTATTATACCCCTACCTTCAAAATTCCAAGAACGGGTCGTCGAGCCACATTTCCCCTATCATAGGAAATGGATCGGCGATTTATTTAGTTATACCGGTGAATTGAAGATTTGAACGTATGAGTAAAATTTTGAGCCTAAAAGAGAAAGTTATTTGTGAATTTTACAATAAAACTAAGAAAATTAGTTAATTAAAACATTCTTCATTTAAGAACATCTGTTACCAAGGCAGTTTCTTATAGAAAAGAAAATAGTCTTAGCACTATTAATAACGTTTTGCTTTTAAAGAAAGACATAGACATTGACATCAAACAGAGAAAATATGTATTTATATCTTAGCAACAAATAAAATATGATAACATCATTCAACGGCAGCCATCATGAAATTGGGACCAATCAAAGCCGGATAGTAACAAAACACTTCGGCTCTGTTCCCTTAGTTTCAGTCAATATATATAGACCGAAATAATTCTGAATTTCATTCTCTTAAACCAATAGCATAAATTACGAATAAGAGGCATTCGTAAGAATTGTAAAAATTGCAAAATACTATTTAACGTTACAGTTCATCAAATTTCTAGAGACTTTCGACGGCTAGACAGAGAAAGCACTACTGACAGGCATCCCGACGGATTTACGCAATGAAAGTACACTCTGCGCATCAAGTATTTCACTATTTCATTCAGACGTAAATGTCAGATGTAAATTTCGCTAAAACATTTATTTTATTTTCGTTTGTGTTTTTTGCTCATTACAGTTTAATAGAACCTAATAGCAAATTAAGAGGCCGCGTGATTAACAGTCAATCTCGCGAAATAATAGCCAATGTTATAGAGTTTATGAGAAGAGAAGGAAACTTTAATTCACCTTCAATACCATTTAAAAATGTAAATGATCGTGTTGCTGCAGCCACAGGAGTATCTAAAAACACTGTCGTCCGCATTTCTGGAGAGAAAAAAAGAATCGATAACCGTGAGATATCGGAATTTTCATCACCAAGAAAAACCATTAAAAAACCAAAAACAGTTAATGATATAGATGAAGCTGCACAAGAATAAAATTTTATTTTTTTTTATTAGATAGCTATTTTTGTTTCTGAGTTGTGTTCATTTACAGGCTCAATTTTTTTCCGTTTCTCCTTTTTGATTTTATATGGGGTTTCAAGTTGTTTTTGACTTATTTCGACGTAAATCACAACAACACACTTTTTTAATAAAGCAAACAAGTGTTAAGAGGTATATGTACGTGTAAACTACAATTACAAAAAATTGATATGAAACCCATGAAACCACCAACAAAAATGTAAAGCTAGCTTCCGTACTAGAACATGGTGTCATTCGTCGAGATAATTTATCGTTTTGTTTAATAGATCAAGAAATGTAAATATTCCCCGGTTATTTTTTATAAAATTATAAGAGAAATAAATTTTTTTCTAAATAGTATAGTTTATTATTTTGTAGAAAAACAAAATTTCGAAAATTTTAGTAATGTTTCAGAAACAACCGTTATTAATAATAGGTACCATTTTCCTTAATAAGGTAGAAATAAAATATAAACTATTTCCACGATTTACAAAAGCCTACAAAAAAATTATAGGTATTTTCCGCTATCCTATAAAATTTATATTTTCTGACTCAATTTCAAAAGGTTGAAGGAATTTCAAAACACCTTTTATGGCATAATAATAATTTTCAATTCTACATACTATCTTTAGCTGCTTTTAAAAACGTTCTAAGAAAGTCCAATCAGACCAATTTAATCCCTAAACTATTCCACACTTTTAAAATTTAATTACCTAAAAATATTAAAAATATTTAAAATAACTTGTTTAGCAGACTGTACAATAGCTATCTTAGTCACACGTAGCGCGTTCTCTGTCTGGGCGTCGAACACCTCTAGAAATTTGATGAACTGTAAATGGTGTAAATTAATATATTTTATATATTTGTACAAAATAAAATATTAAGTCATCTTCTTGCTTTATTTATTCTATGCTAAAAAGAGGGCATCCAAGGTAATATCTTTCTGTAAACAATTATACAGTCTACAAATTATCAGATCACTACAACAGCAGACAGCAACAAAATCAGGAAAAACTTGTAAGTAAAACTATTTTCTCCACGTTTCATTCACAGATAAGTCAGAAAACATGTAAATTATTAATATAATATGAAACATTTGTTAAATACATTATTTATAAGGCTGATTTATAGATTTTATTATATTAGTAGCTTAGTTGATATTCTTTGCAAAATGAATTATTTTAGAAAATATAATATATACCTGCTATACAAATATAATTCTTCTACCTAATTTTTTCTAATCAAACTATGTTTTAAATATATTGAAACATTGCAAATTCTATATTGAAAACAAAATTATCTCATGTAATAAAATTTCCCTCTTCGCACCAACCGAGCAACAATAAATTTAAGTTCGATCCTATATGTACCCTTATTCCGTATCTGGCCAAATTTCAATACTAAGTAGACGAGGAAGGCAACAGCACCCATCCTTCAGTACGAACACGGAACGTCTTGAGAGGGGATATCGTAATCATATTTTTCAATCATTTTTTTATCCGAAATTACTTTGCTATTTTAATGATTACGGCTTTATATTAAGTCCAATTTTAAAAATTATTTTTTGATCTTATTAAGAAAAAAGATTTACTACCAGTTGACATTAATCGTTCGAAAAATAATGCATGTTTGATAAGGTTAATTCTCTATTAAAAGTTGTCCTTTTTTAAACAAAATTAATAAACTTTATAATTTTTTGTAGACAAAACGGAATATTTTTTCAAAAAAGTATGAAAACCCAGGGCTAGTGCCACACTTATTCTCTTTGTACATAAAAAAATATGTGGTATTATCTTTAAAACTGTATCTTCTTGGATTAAAACAGAATGCCTATTTTTAATACAAATTTCCTGTTAATTGTCATCGGAGCAATAACTCTTAAATTATATCATTACATTTTTGCGTTCACATTTTGGTTTAGTCAACTGTACAATTATTGCTTTTTATTTTGATCATTTGACCTTATTATTCAGATATAATAAATTAATCTTTCTTTTTTGAAATAATTATTTTAAGTAGATACCAATCTCTCTTTCTATGATGTATCCATTACTTTTTTTAATGGCTCCTGATATAGTTTTCTTTTTACTTCCGTTTCTACACATTTCTTTTAATAGAAGGTTTTAATTTTGTAAAGATTTAAAATCTGAGAAATATTAAAAAAATAACCGAATAATACCTACCTAAGTGCAATAATAATCAGAAAGTAAATGAACTTGAAATAGGAACCGCAACATTTTTTTTAACAATATTATTTTATAGGTTATGGTCAGGATTTCGGCTATGACGGAAACACTGGTAAGTAGAACGACAAATAATAAATAATAACACATGAGAATAATAATTAAATGACGGTCATGCATACAAAATATTTTTTACTATATTTGTAACTACTTTACAACATTTTAATGTCCATTTTTTAAATGAATCAATTAAAACGATTGTAAGAAAAACACAAAATGTGTCACAATTTAGTGAATTCAACAATAGAAGCAACTATTTAGCTCTTCAGATTTAAACATTGAACAGTGGTGGCTTGTGATAATTTAATCGCTGTTTTTTTTTATTTGGGTTTATATTAAGTGTAGTTATTATTTTTAATAGCATACTGTTTACAAGCACTACAACTATTAATGAATATTTTAGTTATTGTAATATTTTTTTTGTTTTTATTTATAAACATTATTAGTTATAGTCAGTTGATTTTTCTTCATATTTTAAGATTACTTTTAAATATATATCAGGTTACCGTTTTTAAGTTTTTATTGTCAATTTAATCATTTTCACAATTTGTCACACATGTCCAAAATAATATATTTTAGTGCACTGAAAAACGGGCAAAAAGGTTTTAATTTTTTTTTAAGGTACAACCACATGTGGTCTTTACAAAATAATAGTCTAGGTCACTGGTCATCTGAAATCGGCAATTACAACATTTTTTAATAGGGACAACATTTTTTATTGCGAAATTTGTCAAAATCTGTCAAAATTTTGTTTTATTACTTTTTCACACATAGCTCGCGATATCTCCGGAACTAAACAAGATATTTTCAACTCGACAGAAGAAACGTAAGCAGAGATTACTGCGTTCGTTTCATTAGTATAGAAAATCTAGTTTTTATGTAAAACTAGACAAAACTTTAATCTTTACTTTTTTGCAGCACTATTTTCAGTAATTGAGAAACTTTTATTTTTCAAAATTTCACTAAACTATCTCCATACCAAATAAAGCTAAAGCTTCAAAAAAGTTTTTAAAATAACAATCACTATTCTAAGTATCATAGTTTTCAATTAATAGTTACTTGAAGTTAAAAGGTTCCGCACCTCCATGGGCCAACGCGCCGGCCGTGCAGCTAGCTAAAAATACTGTTTAAGGTACCATTTGGGTAGGCGCGACAGACGACCGCCGACGCGACATACGACCGCCGACACGACCGAGAAGTGTCGCTTCACATCTAAAATACATACAATTATATAAAACACATTTCGCATGGGGCGACACGACCGAGAAGTGTCGTGGAGACCCTTTTCGGTGCGAAGCTTTGATGCGTATCGCACTCGAGGTCGGAAATTTCTTTCGATCTAGGCAGCGTTGCCAGATTTTGAAACAGTATGGGTAAAAAAACCGTAGATCTGAACAGTACATTTTAATAAAGGGGGAAATAATTATAATTTGCAGTGTAGTAAATAAAAAAAAAAAAGTATACAAGACACGAAACTTAATAAACTTTTTTCTACCAAATTAGAAAGTAAAAAAAGAATAAAAACATTTTTAATATATACTTAACGTACGGGAAAAAACCAATGAAAAATAATAAGTACCTACTTCTGTTAGATCAGTCTGAATTAGATAATTCAAAATCGTAGTGTTTGGCATATGCATGTTCTTTTTATGATGCCCTATTAATTCTTTGTTTCATTTTAAATAAAAACAATGATTATCTTGATGTTTTTTTTTATGGAGCCAACCTACAGTAGTGGATGCTTATTACGCTGCTTTTACTGCAGAAAATTTACTAGAGAAAATATTGTTTACCCATTTGCTGAAAAATGAGGCAAACTTAATAAATTAAGAACAAAATTTGCTAGAGACAGAAACAGTAGATCTACGTAAAAATAGTAGGTCTGGCAACGCTGATTGTTCCCTGGAATGCTTACGAAGGGTAAAATTTATGCACCTGTTGTTCTACTCGACCTTGGGGTCGGTCCAGTGGTCGCTTGTCGTCTGTCGCGCCTACCGAAATGGTACCTTTTAGCGTTATTGTGGGGGCGCCGACTTAATTATACCTGTGACCTGTAAATTAATAAAAGTTTTTAAACATTTTAAAAAAGTTATAGTTTAGTTATTGCTTTAGTTTAGATTAACAATATAAAATTTTATTATTAAAATTATCTTCATCGCACGAATAAACTGTTTTTATAGCAACTTAAAGATATTTATATTGACCATTATTAATTTGACATTACTTAATAGGTACATCTGATCAAACAAAAACAAATAAAACTCAGTAGTCTCTAAAAAAAAAATCGCAAAAACAGTAAACAAAAAATTATGAAACTAATTAAACTAAATAACAAAAAACATATTTTAAAAGTCTTCATCTTCGCAGTCTGATAAAATTTCATTGGTTAGGCTGTTACAGCAGTTTGTATATTTGCAGTCACTGCAGCATTTTAACCCTTGTGAAATGCAGGTACACTTATTATTGTTGGAATTTTTGTCTGAACGTCGTATAGACAAAATTGTTCTTACATCATCGGGCACTGGTTCTTGAGAAGAAAAATTGGCTTTCCAAATATTTTCTTCTAATGTCCATCCGTATAGAGTCAGATCTTCTAGTGGCATATTTGGAATGTGGCTATTGTACCAAATGTTTAATTGATACAGACACCTAAAACAATAATAGATACGTATCATAGCTTGTTGGTGGGTTATTTATAAATGGCAAATAATATATATCTGACACGGGAATGTTATTCAGGCTAACGTGTTGTTAAAGTCAGACCAGTTTAGAAATATTTTTGCATCTTTAAAGCTTCGGAAAAGTTTCCATATTACATTTATTTTTGTCGAACGTTCGTCATTTTATCGATTTAATGTAGCTGATTTTAATGTAAAAGTATTGGGACGTTTTGCAGGTTTTGAATATTTTGATAGGTATTGAATGGTACAATCAAGTTCTTCTCATAATTTTAAAGAATATGCTCCACCTTTGGGAATATTTTCATCGATAAATCTACGCGTATCAGAATGTTTTTGAAATACTGCCATTACCATACAGTGTGTGGTATTTTTTCCATCTATTTGATTCCTCAATCATTTCAAGACCAGGTGGCACATACACCGTGTCGCTAGAGATTTTTTTGTTCGCTAGGGAAGTTGTTAATTGTCTTATATCATTATAGCTACCACTTAGACCAATATTTGATAAAATATCTAAAATTTTCTGACTACGTACTAAATGATAAACATAGATTCCTAGTAAGATTCCTGGTAAGATTTTCCTTAACTCCCTCCCCCCCTTCCCTAATCTCGCGTGAGATTTTTCAAAATTCGTGTTTTGGGTGTAAATGTGTTGGATTATTAAAAAAAAAAACAAAAACACAATATGTTCCATTACTTTTATTTAAGACTAGCAAAGACTAGTGTTTGAGAGTGTTGCAATTATTTAAAATCACATTAATAAAATTAAATGATAAATACTTAAATGGAAATTAATAAAAAATAAATAAACATAATTATAAGATTTTTCCATATTTTATTCTAGAATTACTTTTACTAGAATTTAACTTTACTTTCACGCCATTTTGCACCGTTTTCTACTAGAAAAAAGAATTACGTGAGATTTACGAATGTTGTCCCTATTAAAAAATGTAATTGCCGATTTCAGATGGCCAGGGACTTAGACTATTATTTTGTAAAGACCACATGTGGTTGTACCAAAAAAAAAAATTGAAACCTTTTTGCCCGTTTTTCAGTGCACTATTTTTTTGAATAGCTTTTATTGGCAAATAAACCAAGTGAACTAAAATGTTAATTTTATAAGATCAGCCCTATTACAATACATAACATTACTCAGATACAAAATAAAATGAAAATATATAATGCGTGGCATTCTAAATTATATTCTTCAGTTTACCTTGACTCCCATTTTCAATCAGATTTTTTTCAGAATCAATAGGCTTCATCCGCTTATTGAGCTTAATTTTTTCCAAAAATTTCAAGTTAATATTGTTTGTTTTTGAGTTAGAATATTTTAAATAGTTCAACCTTCCTTTACCGCCCCCCCTTTTATTCAATTTTTTTTCACAATCAGTAGGCCTTATAGAGCTTGATTTTTACTAAAAATTTCATATTGATTTCGCTTTTCATGTTTGATTTATGATTTTTATTCAGATTTTTTTAAATCACAGGGCTTCTTCTCCTTATAGAGCTCGATGTTTGCCAAAAATTTCATGTTGATATCGCTTTTAGTTTTTCGTTTTCAATTTAAGATTCTTTTAAGCTATTGCATAGCTTTTATCGCGGGCTTCGAGCTCGGCGACCGAATCAAGAAATTCCGTAACGACCGTAATGAAAATAAACCTAACACCCCACTACGACCGGCACAGCGGTGCGGCGTTGAAACTTTCAACTTGAAAGTTGTAGAAGGTTTTATCCGACCCTATTCGTATTAGTATGAAGCGGAGTTAAATATACGTCTGCTGACTGGAATGTTTATGCAATACAAGAATTAGAAGAGCTTCCTCTGGCTTCTAATAAATTGGTATCACAAATGTTCCCGGCTGGCGTAAATATTAGATATTATTTTTTTTTGCAAGATTTATAAAATATTAATTTTTATTTTATCAGTGTTAACTATTTCATTATTAAGCTACTGCATAGATTTTATAGCGGGCTTTGAGCGCGGGACCGAATCAAGAAATCCCGTAAAATCGAAAAATCGAAATATCGAAAAATCGAAATATCGAAAAATCGAAAAATCAAAAAATCGAAAAATCGAAAAATCGAAAAATCAAAAAATCGAAAAATCGAAAAATCGAAAAATCGAAAAATCGAAAAATCGAAAAATCGAAAAATCGAAAAATCGAAAAATCGAAAAATCGAAAAATCGAAAAATCGAAAAATCGAAAAATCGAAAAATCGAAAAATCGAAAAATCGAAAAATCGAAAAATCGAAAAATCGAAAAATCGAAAAATCGAAAAATCGAAAAATCGAAAAATCGAAAAATCGAAAAATCGAAAAATCGAAAAATCGAAAAATCGAAAAATCGAAAAATCGAAAAATCGAAAAATCGAAAAATCGAAAAATCGAAAAAATCGAAAAATCGAAAAATCGAAAAATCGAAAAATCGAAAAATCGAAAAATCGAAAAATCGAAAAATCGAAAAATCGAAAAATCGAAAAATCGAAAAATCGAAAAATCGAAAAATCGAAAAATCGAAAAATCGAAAAATCGAAAAATCGAAAAATCGAAAAATCGAAAAATCGAAAAATCGAAAAATCGAAAAATCGAAAAATCGAAAAATCGAAAAATCGAAAAATCGAAAAATCGAAAAATCGAAAAATCGAAAAATCGAAAAATCGAAAAATCGAAAAATCGAAAAATCGAAAAATCGAAAAATCGAAAAATCGAAAAATCGAAAAATCGAAAAATCGAAAAATCGAAAAATCGAAAAATCGAAAAATCGAAAAATCGAAAAATCGAAAAATCGAAAAATCGAAAAATCGAAAAATCGAAAAATCGAAAAATCGAAAAATCGAAAAATCGAAAAATCGAAAAATCGAAAAATCGAAAAATCGAAAAATCGAAAAATCGAAAAATCGAAAAATCGAAAAATCGAAAAATCGAAAAATCGAAAAATCGAAAAATCGAAAAATCGAAAAATCGAAAAATCGAAAAATCGAAAAATCGAAAAATCGAAAAATCGAAAAATCGAAAAATCGAACAATCGAAAAATCGAATAATCGAAAAATCGAAAAATCGAAAAATCGAAAAATCGAAATATCGAAAAATCGAAAAATCGAAAAATCGAAAAATCGAAAAATCGAAAAATCGAAAAATCGAAAAATCGAATAATCGAAAAATCGAAAAATCGAAAAATCGAAAAATCGAAAAATCGAATAATCGAAAAATCGAAAAATCGAAATATCGAAAAATCGAAGAATCGAAAAATAAAAATGACTTTTTATAGGATTAAATTTATAAATGTTATCTGGTTTTAGACATATGCATTTCTAGAGTTTTATGTAAATCTATATTAATTAATATTCCTAAAAAAAGAAGCTGCAGTTTCAATACAAAGCAGCATTTTCTCATTTTAACTAATTTTTAATATTATGTAATAACCGTAAAAAAATAATGTTCAACTCACAAGGTTTGATTTGCAGTATTCGCCTGCGCACATGTTTTCTTATAATACTCGTAGACAATGAGTACCATTTCTTGCTCTATTAACAATATTGTATTTCAACATTTTACTGGAGTCTCTTGCTGAAAAGTCCGTAGTAAATAAACGCTAACGAGATATTCTATAAAAGGTCTTCTCTTTACATAAAATGTCGTGGCATCTGTTTGATATTAAACAATCACGTTAATTTTATTTCATAATACAAAATTCCATTGAACGTATATTTTAAATAAATCTAATAGTTCATTATGATGCTAATAAACAAAGTCCGGTCCCTGTCACAGAGTTCGGGTCTCTGCCCAGTTCCCCCTTTCTTTAGAAATTGGCAACATTTGCGCAGGTTAATCACCGGTGTATGGTATATCTCTGGTCTCTTTTATCTAAGGTTTCAATGGAGTATCAGTGTTCTTTTTCGTTTTGAAAATATCGGTGGCAACTTTACTGTTAACAAAGCGGACAATTTGCTTACACCTATTTCAAATGGTTTTCACTCGATCCAATGACAAACTGTCAAATTAATGGTGTGTGCATAGCAGGGAAGGTGTTTTTTTCTTTAAAATTTGAGGCATTAGCAGTTACTATACATGTGATTTTCATTTCAATATTCCATTCATTAAATACATCAATCTGCAGCAACATTTTTCGATGTATGGTGAATTCCATTTTCTATCGGTTTTTTGGACAGCAGATTTTAATTCAAAATCATCAGTGATGAAATGACAAGTTACTGTCAAAAACGATTTGCTGAAGTCCATGAATCTGAAGTAATTACAATAAATTGAACATCTTGTAAAATTTTCTTCAGATTTTCACGTGTGTCAATATACATTTTTTCAAAATTATCTCTTGAATAGTATACTTGCTGGGTTTAATATACATCGGATTTAAAAGATTACTAAATGATTCGAATCCTGTATCACTGACAAAATTGTAGGGTTGAAAGTCCTTTGCAATCATTACGGCCAACGACCTATCCAACTCCTTTTTTCTTCTAGAATCGCTAATATACTGAGCTTCACGCCTAAAAAAAGGACTAATTGATCTGCTGCTAGACCTTGCTGAGCTTGAAGCACTATCGCTATCATTAGTACTTTGGATATTTCTAGGTTCTGCTATAAGATGTGGGTGGTGTCGTTTGAGATGGTCATTCAAATTGCTTGTGTTCCCATTCGTTTTAAATTCTTTGCCGCAATTGAAACCTTTCGATATTCAAATACCAGAAAGGGCCAAAAGTCTGGTATACAGACGGTTCGAAAATGAAAAACAGCACAGGAGCTGGGATCTACCATGTGAACTCAGGGAGGACAATTAGTTTGAACCTGGGGTCACTGACAACAGTCTTCCAGGCTGAAGTAACAGCAATAAATGCCTGCGCAAAAGTCATGCTAAATGACTCTTTTAGAGATAAGAATATATTTATTATGACAGACAGTCAGGCAGCCCTTAAAGCACTGAAAAGGGTAGAAGTACAATCTAAATCAATATCTGATTGCCAACAGTCCCTCCAGGTCCTGGAAAACATAACAAGATCACCCTTGAATGGGTGCCAGGACATGAGGGAGTGTTTGGAAATGAGAAAGCAGACCTCTTAACAAGGAAGAGAACGGAAATAACTCTTATTGGACCAGAACCCACATGTGGTATCTCATACCAACATGTTAAATGGGTGTTAAAGGAATAAATAAATAGAGAACACCACAGGCTCTGGTTGTAACTTCCTGGACTTAGACAGTCCAAAAGATTCATAGAGAGGTCATCCACGAGCAGACAACATCAACTGCTAATCCTTAGAAGCGAACTCAAGGCCGTAATAGGACTCCTTACGGGACACTGCGGCCTTAGAAGACACCTAAATCTCTTAGGGATATCTGATGACTCCCTATGTAAAATATGTAAAGAGGAGGACGAAACTCCTATTTACATACTATGCCACTGTCAGAACCTTAAATAGGAACGGGAATGGTACTTCGGGGTACAATATCCGGAACCTGAAGAAATCTCGAAAGCGCCCATCAGACATATTCTTGAACTCATCAAGAAAATCAATCTGAAACCGTGAGGGGTACAATAAGCCTAGAGCTTCAGTACAAGTGAGCTTTGAACCACGCCCTAATTCAGATAGATAGATAGATAGATAGAAGTACTTGGCAAATTGTTTATCAGTGGACTTTTTGAGAAATTTCCAAACTTCGGAAAGCTTTGGTCTTTTCCTTTTATTAGATTATAAACTTTCATTACCATCCTTATCATCCTTACTAGGATTATCAATAGGTCTTTCATCAGTTTCATCATCACTGGTACCTACAAAATGAAAATTAACATTAATATAGAGAATTCCAAAATCAAGAGAGAATCACAACTTACCTTTGCTTGTTCCCGGTTTACTACGTATTGTGCGAACGAAAAACCTCTCCATATTATCAGTTGCAATCTTATGACAGTTTCGTATAATTTTCGGATCAAACGAATTGATTAATTTGTTTAAACAATTTAATTATATTTTATTAAAACAAAATCAAAACAGAAAACAATTACCATTCACGAAAATGACACAAACACATTCTTTAATCTTCTTTTTTTTAGTTTTAGTTTCTTTATTTGGCCTTCAACATCTAGGGTATACATTGAAAGAAGTCAAACTACCTATGTCAACTGTCAGTATTAGACAGAAAGCATGCTATCCAAAAAACTGTGGATTATTCACTATGACTATCGATAGTACCGATAGTGCTATTGATAGTTCTCCACCTCTAATACATCGGCGTAATAATTCATCTGCTTACACAGAATGCATATCGCGTCGGTATTTGGTGAACCGGTGGGTGCTTTATATAACTAAAGGAAATTTGTATCCCGTCGTATTTCGATTAGTTTAAACCGATTAATATCGTCTAATATACCATTTTGTAGATCTCATTGAGTAGATGTCGAATCACTATGGATTTGTTGACAAGGGTTTAAAGAAAATCACAAAAAAAATCAATAGATCTGACAAAAATTAGAACATGTTTGTGATTTTTAAACGTACATTCCAAAAATATTATTTATTTTGTCTATCTTTACGGGAAGTTCCTCAAACCGCTGTTATGCCATATTAGTATGATGTAGTTTGTATTCCATTGACAGTTAACTGAGCAGTTTTTTTTTATAGAATTTGACGTTTTATTTTTTTTAATATTGTTTACAGGTCGTAAAAAATTATTTAACCAAATTATATTAATGTTTAAATAAAATTGAAAATAATAGAAATTTTTATTTGTCAGTGGAACACAAATTACGTCATCACTAATATACCGTATTTCTGTATTCAGTAAAAATTAAATTGTGACATAGATTGTGTGGTTTTACGATTTACGGTTCATAAAAATTGAAATATTTTGATTTTAGGCCCAGATTTTTGGGGTCTTAAATACCAGGGATGTAACGGAGGAAAGCTTCAAAGCCCCATAGACATTGAACTAAATAACGTTACAGAAAAGGAGTTTCCTCCACTTGTTTTTCAACATTTTGACGAACCTTTAGAGACCGTCAAATTAGAAAATAATGGACATACAGGTAAGAATATAGATATACAAACTCACTGTAAATATAATTATTAGATGTTGTCTGCTTTGCTTTTATAGTAATATTAATTCTGTGGTAATTAGTTAAAAGGTCATAAGTCACTTTTTTGATGTTTTGAGTTATTGGTAGATTAGTGATGCAAATTTATTCTAGATTCGAACCATTAAACGGAAATAAGTGAACTTGTCCTAAAAACCTTATAAAAATTGGGTCAAAAATCGTGCTCTGTCTTCAAATTTCTGATATCATTCAGTTAAAAAGTCTTAAATAAACTTGTGATGATCAACTAGCCCAAAGATTATCATACCAACAATAAAAAAGTCATATGTATACATGAGCCAGTTTTTTGATAAAGTTTTGACATACGTCTACATATTCCTGTTTTACTAAGACTAAAAAAAATGCTGACTGATTAAAAAGGAATATGTGCACTTATGTCAAAACGTTCTTAAAAAATTCAAACTCATGTACAAATATGGCTTTTTAATTAATTCAAAATGTTTTAGTGCGATTTGAATATGTATACTTATGCCAATTTAATTGAATTAGCACAATAATCCCGCGCGTGCGTGTGTGTGTGTGTGTGTGTGTGTGTGTGTGTGTGTGTGTGTGTGTGTGTGTGTGTGTGTGTGTGTGTGTGTGTGTGTGTGTGTGTGTGTGTGTGTGTGTGTGTGTGTGTGTGTGTGTGTGTGTGTGTGTGTGTGTGTGTGTGTGTATGTGTGTGTGTGTGTGTGTGTGTTTGTGTGTGTGTGTGTGTGTGTATGTATGTGTGTGTGTGTGTGTGTGTGTGTGTGTGTTTGTGTGTGTGTGGGTATGTGGGTGTGTGGATGTGTGTGTGTGTGTGTTTGTGTGTGTGTTTGTGTGATTTACTAGTAGCAGTTTGTGACGATTTTTATTTCAGGTATTGGTATTGAAAAAAATTCATCAACTTATTGTGAGGACAACGTTGAACAGACAAATTTTCAAACAAACGTAGAGCAAGAAAATAAAATAAGAGAAACCCAAGGCAACTCAGTTAATAATGAAGAAACAGCTAGAAACCACCAAACTGCACAACCTATAATTATTGATTTAGAGAATCAAAACATGGAAGAAGAGCAACATGATATAATTCAAATAGAAACCGAAATCCAGGAAATTGAAAATAATATTTTTGATGAATACCAGGCAGAAACTAAAATTGATGAAGAGAAGCTTAATTTTCCTGAAAATATCCTGATTGATGACATTCAACCGGTTATTATGGAAGTACTTCATTCTAAAAGAGATCAAGAAAACATTAATAAAAATAAAGCTCTTCTTAATATAGAACTTCATTCTGAAATAGACAAAAAAAAAAAACAATACGAAGGTAGAAGATTTGGATAATGTTAACCCAATCAATGATATAGGTTAATTTGAAAAGAGCAAAGGCTATCCTAATTGGATTCCAATTAGCGGAGTAAAAGACAAAGAAAGTGGTAGTGACAGAAACAGCAGAGAAGAAGACGAAGAAAGTGGCAGTGATAGAAACAGAGAAGAAGCAAACAGTAAACCGTACGCAGTAAAAAAGTGAAAGAACGCTAGAAAAATCGAAATGTGGAAGCAAAATATATTAATGCAAAAGTAAAATCATCAAAGCCAGGATTATTAAATCACTAAAAGAAAATTGTAAATTAAATGTAAAACTATCCTGTTTGAAGACATTAGAAAAACTATATTCGATGAATATTGGAGCCTTGTACTCATAAAAAAAGAATGACTTTTATAGCTGGACTTGTAAGTGTTCAAGAAAAAAGAGTTACAAGAACAAAGCTAGAAGAAAAACCTACTATAAATAGAGCAAATACGTTTACATATAAGTTTTCTGTAAATCTAAAAGAGAAAAAAGTTTGCAAGACATGTTTTTGCCATACCCTGGGTGAAACGGAAAAATGTATTACATGTTCTGTTCCGAATTTGTTTTCTATTAGTAGCATTATACATGAAGATGAGACGTAAATCAACACCACCATCTTTAATGGAAATTCCAGTCACTTCATGTGACCAGAATGCACACCTGGCAGAAGTGCAAATGAAATATCTTCCTGCCTTTTTCTATTTCTAAAAACAATTCCGGATGGAGTAAAACACGCTGTGTTTTATTCTGATACGTGTGGTGGGCAAAACATAAATAGGATTGTTATATCTATGTTCCAGTATGCAATTTTATCGCATAGCTTTCTCGAAATAATAGATCCTAAGTTCTTGGTTCCAGGTCATACGCATTTAGAGTGCGACCATTCTGTGATCGAAAGAGCCAAAAAAAAAATCCTCTATGGAGATTCACGTGCCAAGCGTTTAGTATCAACTTGTAAGAAACGCTAGCAAGAAAGGAAAATTTACTGTTTATCTGATGGAAAACGAACATTTTTTTCTTTTTTCAAATATTCATGCCAAAGGACCCCTGCAAAAGAAAGCAAACTTTAAGTTGAGAAATACGAACTGGTTAAGATATATGAAAAGTAATACTGGCATAGTCAACTTCAAGAACACTTTACAGGAAGAAGAACCATTCAAACAAATAACGATTTTTAGAAAATGCCAGAAAATTATTAATTTGAAGGACTTTGTTCTTACTCCTTTGTGCAATGGTCAACAAAATCTTTTAGAGATTGTTGAATTATTAGATACAGACGTCCAAAATTTTTATAAGGAGCTAAAAACAGACAAAAGAATAGAAAAAGACACTGATCCAGATATTGACAGATAGTTTTCCGATGAAGATTCAAATTAAATAATTACTTTAAATAGCTGCAATGTAATACACTCAAAAGATGCCTATTTTTTATTACTGTTTAAAAATTTTGTTCATATAAAATACTTTCCAAAATAAAATTTTTAAAAATATCAGAGGTTTCATTTGAAGAACCTACCTAGTACGTCATTTTATGTTATTATTGAATATACTCTTAAACTATGGTGGAATTTGTTAACTTATTTCATTATTACCAGAAAACAAAGTAAATTATTATAAAAATATGTCGACTTATGCCTTTTTTGGTGAAGTGACTGCGATCTATTTTATGGAAATAAGTAAGCTTATTTCATTTTTACTGTATTCCAGGTATTTTCAAAAATAACATGTATACATATGCCTTTTTTAGTAAATAGATTTTTGTGATATTAGTTGATAAGGATATAACTTACGACTTTTTTAATTATCTTTTTTTTTGCTGCCTAAAATTTATTTCATGGTATTACCTTTAATATAAACTGAAACTAAATTTTTCCCCTTAATTTGAAATCAAATTTTAATCAGTTTAGGACCTTGTCAAAAAGTGTCAAAATTTTAACGACATTTTCTCACACAAATATACTTAAGACCTTTTAACTAATTACCACAGAATTATTTTAGAATCATTTTTTTGTTGATAATTCTCTATTATAAATCATATTTAAAATAATATAAGAATAAAAAAGTAAAAACATTTTAATATATTTAAATATGAGTGGTTAACAAGACTATTGCTCTCATTCTTGTTGTGACTCGTGGATAATAAAAAATACATGCTGTAGAATATATTATTACATGTTTATATTAAATTCTTTAGAGTTAAAATTGCATGGCTAGTAGCAATTCCTTGAATTGTTATCACTGACTTCTAGATTATATTAAGCTAACTTTGTATTTCTTGTAAATCCAATACGCCTTCTTGACTGCATAATATTATTTTACATTGTAATAGGGTGATTTTTCAGTTCAATTTTATAATTCAATGTAAAATAGAGTTTATTCAAGATATTAACTCATACTATATTTTATTCATTAATTTTAAATTAATATTTATATCTTACAATGTAATTTTTTCCTTGAATTTTTCCTGTAATAAAATAATTTTTGCTTTAGCTAATTTACGTTCATTATTGTAATAATAACTACTTAAAGTGCATTTAATTTTGTCTAAGAGTTTATTAAGATTAACATCAAAAATATTCCAATGTAAATTTTATAATGAATATTTTCTTAACAAGGTTTAATGCCCATTATTAAATATAATCGGTAATTATATTTAACAATAAATTTATTTCCCATAAATATATGATGATTTTCAAGAGAAAAAAATTATAAACTACAATTTTATTTCACAATTTTCAGCGCTTTTATCAATAAAACAAGGAAAAATACCGAACGTTAGAGGTGGGCCCCTAAACGAAACTTACAATTTTTCACAGCTGCATTTCCATTGGGGCAGAACTGATGATGAAGGATCTGAAAACTTAGTCAACAATCAGAGGTAAGAATATATTTTGTTTATTTTAAGCAGTGTTTTAATTACAGAGTATATTTGCAATGCATTATCCTTTACCCTGTATAAAAAAATATATCAAAGCTCTTTTGAGTTGGTCTGACGTGTCTCCAATAACACTGTATCAGAATGGCTTATTGTTTTACCCTTAGATAAAAGAGACCAGAGATATAACATACACCGGTGTTTAACCTGCGCAAATGTTGCCAATTTCTAAAGAAATGTTAACGGAGTGGGGGAACTGGGCAGAGACCCGAACTCTGTGACAGGGACCGGACTTTGTTTATTAGCATCATAACGAACTATTAGATTTATTTAAAATATATGTTTAATGGAATTTTGTATTATGAAATAAAATTAACGTGATTTTTTAATATCAAACAGATGCCACGACATTTTATGTAAAGAGAAGACCTTTTATAGAATATTTCGTTAGCGTTAATTTACTCTGGACTTTTCAGCAAGAAATTACAGTAAAATGTTAAAATAGAATATTGTTAATAGAGCAAGAAATGGTACTCATTGTCTACGAGTATTATACCTAAAAAAGCATGTGCGCAGGCGAATACTGCAAATCAAACATTACATTTTTTCTACGGGTATTACATAATATTAAAAATTAGTCAAAATGAGAAAATGCTGTTTTGTATTGTAATCTTAGTCTCTTTCTTTAGAAATAATAATTAATATAGTGGATGAGTCACATAAAACTCTAGAAATGCTTATTTTCGATCGATTGATCGATTATTTTCAAACAATCTATTTTTTTGTCTTATTTCCTTTAAAATCAACTACTTGATTCATCTTTGAAAAATCAAAAATAATCAATTAATTAAAAAGCCAACTAACCGATAAATCAGTGTTTACAAAAAATAATAAAAGAATTATGGTTTATTATAAATAATCGATCATTTTCAAATCCATTTTTTTCGTCCATTGATACAGATTATTAGATAATCTTTGAAAAATTGAAAATAATCGATTAATCAAAAATAATCGATTAATTAAAAATCTGATGTGCCCAACACATGACTTTCCTATCAAGTTATTATAGACTTTTTCCGGTTATTTTATACAAACTATTGCAGCACCTCTATAAATGTTTCTAGGATAAAAAAAAAATATATACATTTTCCACATACATCTAACTCGACACATTTTTCTAATATATATTCCATAAAATATAAAAACGGCCTCCCATAAAGTACCCCCCAGATTGTTTTTGTAACCACTATCGGTCGCTTGCTTTCATCCGAGCATTTAGCTTCAAAATTTAGATATTTGGATTTTTTGATCCCCTTATCTTTGAAACCGGATTCGATTGTATAATAAATAATAAATATTCCTAGAATTTGGATTTTTTAGTGAACGAAAATTTTGTTTGAGTTGTTTAGGAGTTTATAATATAACATTTTATTAACAATATGACTAACTCCCGTAACTTTAGTATTTTTTTGCTTCAGACTTAAGATTCAAATGTCACTTTCGATTTGACCGCAAATAAGATGAACCTTGAAATTTTAAGTAGATCATCCTGTATTTCATCTATTATTCTTATAAAAATATATTATAAAAATAAAATTTAGCTAGCAACTATGCTTCTTTACTTCTTATTTATCTACCAAAAAGGGCTAAAAACCATCTTTAGTAAATATTCTTATAAAACTACTTTTTAAAAACAAAATTTCGTTAGCAAAAATGCCTATTTACTTCTTATTTAAGTTACATGTTCAAAATTTTACCCTTTTGTAAATTTATGTAAGTAATATGAAATCTGTTTTCTGAAATATGTATTTGATGCTTAATATTTATTGAAACCCCTTAATGCGGATCTGAAGTATTCAGCCCAAAGGATCATGGCGCTTTATGTCAAAACGTTACTAAATATTTACCGCTGAAAACGAATATATTTCTTATCTTTCATAACATTGGTACTTATATTATAAGTATATACAATTTTTCAAGATACATCCTGGCATTTTGAACTTAAAATTAAATAACTAGAACACTTTAAATTGCTAAAACACCAACAAATAAATCAAAAAACAGCTGTCAATGATGATTGAATTCAAGCGGAGGTGAGCGTTGAATGACAAAGTCGGAGCAACTCGGGTGGCGTCGTGCAAACAATGATTTTCAATTGGTGAGTTATTTGGGGTTAAAATAGACAACATGCACAGTGTGCAATGTTACATCTTCGGTCTCTTTAATCTAAGCTTTTACCCTATGTTAGTTTATTTTCAACTTTGTATCTAGTAACAAGCCATCAATGAAATTTCATAATAATTGGAGTTGGCTGTAAAATTAAAATGTTTTGGGTTGGTTGGTAATTGAGCCACTTCCACAGAATGACATTTATTTCATAATTGGTTGAGATGACGCTGAACGATCGTTTTGTTTACGTTTTGTTTGTTTTCTTAACCTCAAATTTTAATCTTGATTTGATTTCCTCTAATTACTGGCAAATATTAACAATTACTCCCATGTACTTTATATTTTCATAACGAAAATCCATTGAGAAAATTCCACTGGAAAAAGCTCATGAAAACTTTGCATGCATAAAAAATGTAAGTCTTTTTTTAGAATCAGTTGGCAAAGTTTTGACAAATTTGACACAGATGTCGAGTTTCAATTTTAAGGTTAAAATGTTATTCTGTGGAAGTAGCTAAAGTACCAACTCAAAATGATTAAATTTCACAGTCAACTCAAATTACGATAAAAAATAAGCACCCATGAGATTTTCAATTTTGACTTTTTACTGCAAACGTACTACTGTAAGTCACATTATCTTTGTTGACTACAAACGTGCTGTAAATCACATTATCTCGAATTAGAATCGAAAAAAATTAAATAATTATAATTTATGTAAATAACTATTTATTAATATGGAAAAATTAATAGTAAATGGGATTTTACTTGAACAAGTTTTTATTCTATCCTTCTACGTACACTATTATAAAGTTTCTTGTTTTATTGATTTGAGAATAACATGTAAACAGTTTATTTAAACAAAATGAATCTTCACAAACACAAATAACAAAGCATCTGGCAACTATAAAATTGTGTTCCTAAGGATTTTATAATTAAATTTAAAAAATTTATTTTTTAAACAAACCGATTTTATTTTAAATGAAATCCTTTTGCTTGGTTCTCCTGCTTCCCATCACCACTTTAGGAACTGCACTGTTACTAAAAAGTCAACAGTGAACTTTCGAGTGGATAATCTTATTTATGCATAATAATTAATTTTCATATAATTAAATTTATTAGAAACATTGTGGCATAGGTGGGATTCGAATCCGGGACTGAACTACACACCTACCCCTAAATGTCATATTATTGCTGGGTTCGGGATGTGGACTCCTTTAATTCTTCTCACTGAAGTCTATATCCAACTTTTTTTAGTGAATAATGTTATTGCAATTTTTTTTCTTTGACGGGAAAAAATTTTGACATTTTATCTCTCTTGTCAAGTAACAAAATGTCACTTTTTATTAAATAGGTAATTTTTTCCCGTTTCCCGGGAAAAAGTGGGTACTTTTTCCCGGATATACACATAAGTAAAGAAAGAAATTTTTTTCAATATTAAATCGTCGATTTTCCCATCTCAGAAAAAAATAGTGTTTTAGAGAAGGGAAAAATATTAGATTTAAGCTTTCGGTTTTTTGTCTCCCTCCACTAAAATCTAATACTTTTTTTTCCTCGTACATTAAATAACTACTTTTTTTTCAGTTTTCCTTTAGAATTGCACATGGTACTTTATAACACAAAATACGGAAATTTTAGCAACGCATTGTACTATGATGACGGACTAACAGTACTATCATTTTTATATCATGTAAGTACCTATCCGTTAAATTTGGAAAAGTTTTAATATTTTTTTTTTATTTTGAAATATAAAGTGACATATTTTGTAATCGCAGCAAGGTCAAAACGTTCTACTTTATGCAACCAGTTGCATAAAGAAGGACATTATGCAACTGATTACAAAAAGTTGATTGTCACCAGTTACTAAATGTAAATAAGTAAAAATCCTTTTTTTATTTTTAAAATCGAAAAATCGAAATATCGAAAAATCGAAAAATCGAAAAATCGAAAAATCGAAAAATCGAAAAATCGAAAAATCGAAAAATCGAAAAATCGAAAAATCGAAAAATCGAAAAATCGAAAAATCGAAAAATCGAAAAATCGAAAAATCGAAAAATCGAAAAATCGAAAAATCGAAAAATCGAAAAATCGAAAAATCGAAAAATCGAAAAATCGAAAAATCGAAAAATCGAAAAATCGAAAAATCGAAAAATCGAAAAATCGAAAAATCGAAAAATCGAAAAATCGAAAAATCGAAAAATCGAAAAATCGAAAAATCGAAAAATCGAAAAATCGAAAAATCGAAAAATCGAAAAATCGAAAAATCGAAAAATCGAAAAATCGAAAAATCGAAAAATCGAAAAATCGAAAAATCGAAAAATCGAAAAATCGAAAAATCGAAAAATCGAAAAATCGAAAAATCGAAAAATCGAAAAATCGAAAAATCGAAAAATCGAAAAATCGAAAAATCGAAAAATCGAAAAATCGAAAAATCGAAAAATCGAAAAATCGAAAAATCGAAAAATCGAAAAATCGAAAAATCGAAAAATCGAAAAATCGAAAAATCGAAAAATCGAAAAATCGAAAAATCGAAAAATCGAAAAATCGAAAAATCGAAAAATCGAAAAATCGAAAAATCGAAAAATCGAAAAATCGAAAAATCGAAAAATCGAAAAATCGAAAAATCGAAAAATCGAAAAATCGAAAAATCGAAAAATCGAAAAATCGAAAAATCGAAAAATCGAAAAATCGAAAAATCGAAAAATCGAAAAATCGAAAAATCGAAAAATCAAAAAATCGAAAAATCGAAAAATCGAAAAATCGAAAAATCGAAAAATCGAAAAATCGAAAAATCGAAAAATCGAAAAATCGAAAAATCGAAAAATCGAAAAATCGAAAAATCGAAAAATCGAAAAATCGAAAAATCGAAAAATCGAAAAATCGAAAAATCGAAAAATCGAAAAATCCAAAAATCGAAAAATCGAAAAATCGAAAAATCGAAAAATCGAAAAATCGAAAAATCCAAAAATCCGAAAATCCAAAAATCCAAAAATCCAAAAATCGAAAAATCGAAAAATCGAAAAATCGAAAAATCGAAAAATCGAAAAATCGAAAAATCGAAAAATCGAAAAATCGAAAAATCGAAAAATCGAAAAATCGAAAAATCGAAAAATCGAAAAATCGAAAAATCGAAAAATCGAAAAATCGAAAAATCGAAAAATCGAAAAATCGAAAAATCGAAAAATCGAAAAATCGAAAAATCGAAAAATCGAAAAATCGAAAAATCGAAAAATCGAAAAATCGAAAAATCGAAAAATCGAAAAATCGAAAAATCGAAAAATCGAAAAATCGAAAAATCGAAAAATCGAAAAATCGAAAAATCGAAAAATCGAAAAATCGAAAAATCGAAAAATCGAAAAATCGAAAAATCGAAAAATCGAAAAATCGAAAAATCGAAAAATCGAAAAATCGAAAAATCGAAAAATCGAAAAATCGAAAAATCGAAAAATCGAAAAATCGAAAAATCGAAAAATCGAAAAATCGAAAAATCGAAAAATCGAAAAATCGAAAAATCGAAAAATCGAAAAATCGAAAAATCGAAAAATCGAAAAATCGAAAAATCGAAAAATCGAAAAATCGAAAAATCGAAAAATCGAAAAATCGAAAAATCGAAAAATCGAAAAATCGAAAAATCGAAAAATCGAAAAATCGAAAAATCGAAAAATCGAAAAATCGAAAAATCGAAAAATCGAAAAATCGAAAAATCGAAAAATCGAAAAATCGAAAAATCGAAAAATCGAAAAATCGAAAAATCGAAAAATCGAAAAATCGAAAAATCGAAAAATCGAAAAATCGAAAAATCGAAAAATCGAAAAATCGAAAAATCGAAAAATCGAAAAATCGAAAAATCGAAAAATCGAAAAATCGAAAAATCGAAAAATCGAAAAATCGAAAAATCGAAAAATCGAAAAATCGAAAAATCGAAAAATCGAAACATCGAATAATCGAAAAATCGAAAAATCGAAAAATCGAAAAATCGAAAAATCGAAAAATCGAAAAATCGAAAAATCGAAAAATCGAAAAATCGAAAAATCGAAAAATCGAAAAATCGAAAAATCGAAAAATCGAAAAATCGAAAAATCGAAAAATCGAAAAATCGAAAAATCGAAAAATCGAAAAATCGAAAAATCGAAAAATCGAAAAATCGAAAAATCAAAAAATCGAAAAATCGAAATATCTGAATACGGGGAAAGCAGGGGAATACAATAGACCCAAGAGGCCGCAGTGTTCTGGGCCAAACCTAACCCTACCTGCTTACAATCGATAGAGATAAAGATAAAGATAGTATACCACACTCTTAAAGTAAATACGTTGCATAGAATAAATCTATGTTACTCTAGAGCTACTTTTTAAGCATTTTAGTTAGTTTTTATGGAAAAACAACACAAAAACTTAATTTTTTAAAGGTTTTTTTACCATTTTTTACAATTTTTTTTTTAGAAATTCAACTGATAAAATTTTGAATAAGTGGCTTTACAGTATTACACATAATACACTTTAAAACTGGGGTACTACTAAAAGTTTGCATACAGATATATTTCATATTAGAGACATTTGCAAAAACCTTGGAAAACACAAAACAAGTTTATCTAAGTAACTTATTTCTGCACCGTGTTTTAAAAATAAGAATATATAGGATAGGTGAGAATCATGAAAAAAATGTAAATACTTATGGATATTAAAGTTTTTTAATAATAAATTATTGGCTATTAAACAGATGACTAATTATAGCAGCTTCAGGTTAATAGATTTTTAGCAACCTTCGTTTAATTATTGGTATTAACTGAAAATAAGGTAATTTATTAGTGGTTATAAACTTTTTTTTCTATTAAACATGTTTAATAGACCTCGTTTTCTCGGTGTAGTTTTGGTAACATGTAACCAAAGCAGAGTAACCAAATCTTAAAAAAAAATGCCCTGGTTACATAAGTATGTTCTGGTAAGCTTATAAAGAAATGCCTTCAATGAGTAACACAAATAAACTTTTTTCTTCTTTATATATTTTTCACGACGTCGACAAACAGACGAAATTAGCAATAATCTGGGATGTAATTGGCAAACAGACGAAACGACGTTATTATTTTTAACAAATTATGGAGGACATGCAAATACACTTTCGAGTTGATGTGTCACGTCAGTTTGTTGGGACTGCAAATTTACCATTCAACTACACATATAATATTCGAATTAATTTCACTTTTGCAAGTATGTTTTTAAAATTTTGCGACCGTTTTTCAACATAAAAATTATAAAAAATGTATACGATAATTTGCCACTTTCTTCGGACTTGCAAATTTAAATAAATAATTTGCCAAGTCTAGCGAATTCGACCTAAAATTTATAGAAATTTTGAATTTTACTTTCGTTTTTAAAAGTTTGCAAAATATTGATTTTTCCTAATCTACCTGCTCAATTATAAAAAATACATAATCGGAGAGAGAGTTGCAAATTTTCACAGGTATTTAAGGCGATATTAAACTTTGTAGATATGTTAATAATTTGGTTGCTAAATGAGATCAAATAATGTTAATTAACAGCAATGCATCACTTTGCCGGAGTCGCAAGTGGCTGCAAATTCAGCTCCAGTTCTTAAATATTGAAATGAAAATTTGCTGTTATATTTTTGCCGCCTCTGTATCAAGTTAGAAAATCGGTTAGTTTCGATTTCATTTGGTACTTTATCGTAACACGAAATTTAAAAAATGTTAATAGGTATTTTGATGTCTGTTTTTTATTTTTTTCTTGTAACATATTTTATTAATGTACTGTTTGTATAATGTAGTAAATAAAATTCTATCCTATTCATACATTTTTTTAGAAAACGATTAAGCAAAACCAACATTATCAAAAATTCGAACGAGAGTTACCAGCTGTAGAGAATTTAAACGCTACAGTAGATATCATAGGCTTCGTATCACTCGATAATTTCACCACTACTGATAGAAACGAATATTTTACATACAAAGGTTCATTAACCACTCCACCTTGTTCAGAAGTAGTCACTTGGCTGGAATTTATCAACACCATACCTTTATCTCACGAACAGGTTAGTCATAGTAGTATTTTTTAGTTTGCCATTTGACTTTTTGTTGTTTTGTATAAAACAATTTTTTAACTATAGTTTACACTTCGCGTCATATAAAACTGGTACACTTTTTTTTCGCAATGTGAAACAAACTTATTAGGCATTCCAAACAAATGAATTGCCAGTGGGAAGGTTTGGTATATCTAAGGGTGGCGACATACGGTGTATTCTATCTAATTTACGTAAAATCATGAATAATGGATTACATTTAAATATTTTATGTCAAACACAATACAAATAATATTTAAAAAACCCACCTATACATTTACCCACCTATACATTTCTTCATAAATTGGCAGGCTTGGCGACTACTACTTCGAATAAAAATAGTGTCCAAGTTTGCAAGACTATGTCGCTACCCCCTTAGATATACAAGAATTTCCCACTGGCACGCTTGGCGACTACTACTTCGAATAAAAATAGTGTCCAAGTTTGCAAGACTATGTCGCTACCCCCTTAGATATACAAGAATTTCCCACTGGCACCTATTGTTTGACAGGTCGTTGGAATGCCTAATTTTTAAAATGACAATTTGTCAAAGTTTGTTAAAAGCGCATTGCTACGATGCCAGGTCATAAATTTAACTCCCTAAAACAGAGAACATTTATGGAAGCTTATTGAAGAAACTTGGGAAAGCTTGGCGGAAGATAAATATTTATCATTAAATTTTATTAACTCAGTGCCTAGAAAAATACAAAAAATTATTGATATTAATGAAGCTATAACAAGATATTCATTATTTAATTTATCTTGTTTCCAATGGTGTTATGTATTTAAATTTCATACATTCATTTTAAATTTAAGTTTCTCTTTTTGCATTAATGCTGTGCTAAATGTTTTCATTGCATTTTATTGATTTACAAAATTAGTTCTTTCATTATATCTACTAATATTTTCGTTGTGCTGGCAACGTTGTCCTAGAAATTATAACCTATAAAGTAGTTTAACATTCACACATTTTAAAAGATCAATTTACACAGCTTAAAAAGCACGATTTCTCGTTATAAGAGTTGTAGGTACCAGTTTTATATGGCGCGAAGTGTACAACATTCGTTAGTAGTAGGTACTAACTAAAACTAGTAGCTTCATTTGGGATTCTATCAAAAATAAAATTGTGGATAAGACTTTTTACTTTCCTTTACTGATATACCACATTTACGATGTTTTAAACCTTTTTATTCCTAACCTCCTTTTTGTTTATTTAGATACAAGAATTTAGATTTCTATCTGGAGCAAGAGGCAAACTCAATCATAACTTTCGACCAGCTCAAGCTAGAAATGACAGATCTGTTTATATGAATATTCCCACACTTTCTTCTACTGCTAGTAGTTCAAATGATCGAAGTTCTAGTAAATTGAACGCGCATTCAAAAAATGGAAGATCGTCGTCGGGAGATTTAAGAAGTAACTGTGGAGTATTTGTTCTGTTAATGTTTAAATACTTTTATTATATTGTGAATTAAATTAATTGTAAATATATTTATTTATTGAAAACGTTTTTTCTTTTATTTTTATTCCAATACAAGATGTCGATTTATAAAATTTTAACTGTTCAGGAGTTTTATAAAAGACGATAGAATAGACAAATCAAAGTATAGGAGTACTTATAGAAAAAAAATTTAATAAATTCTACAAGAAATGCAGGGGAGATCGGGGTAAGATGACGATACTAAGAGAAAATGAAAATACAAAGAAAAGTAATTTATTTGAAAGTTAAATACATATCAGTACAAACATGTTCATGACATTGTGTAACGTTAATCTTACCAAAAGTATAAAAATATAAATTAATTTTCTGCAAGTAACAAAAAAAGTAAAAATGCAATTTTCGTCAACTTACCCCATACCCGGGGTAAGTTGACGAACCTATTGGGGTAAGTTGAATATGCACAAAAGTTTTAAATGTTTCATTTGATGTGGTATGTTCAGGTGTTGTAAAAGATTCTATTTTTTCGCCAACACACTCAGAGGTCCTTGATCCTCTTCATCAGATGACGACGAATCCGTGTTTTTTATTGACAACCTGGCATCGTCATCATCACCATCATTTATCAAAAGGGAACCGTTAACTTCAGGTTGTTCATCACGTTCAGTTGTTTTTGAAGATACGAAATCACTGTCATCAAAAACTAGAGGGTTAAAAGGCTCAATGCAACAAGCTCTGAAGCCGTTTACAGCATTATTTACATTGTCTGCCCTGCAGTAAGCCTCCCCGGACAAAGGTCCTATATTTTTGTCGGTTATTGGAGTTCCTGGATGACTTATTAGAAACGAATCAAACATTTGATAATAAAATGGCTAAAAAGGTCCGAAAAACGTCTAATGGTTGTAATCGGTGAGTTGTGTGGGGAGGAAAACTTACAAGCACAATTCCATTTTCTCGGCAGAAGTTGATTCCAGGAAGGGAAATATGGGAACTGTGATTATCAACTACTAACAATACGGGATCATCAACAGATGATTTTGTATAGTGCGCAAAGTGTTTTAAGTATGCAAGAAAAATTTGCGCCGTCATCCAGCCTGAAGGTTGTGTCCTACCATCAGAACCGGGAGGACAACCATTTAACAACTCGGGTTTCATTCTAACTCGGCCAAATATCAAAAATACACCAAAGTTGTATTTCGACCTCTCTCAACTGTCACTATTTTAGCAACTCGTCGTTGTCCTGTTGGAGTGATGATTTTTGGTAGCTTCGTTGGCACAGTTGAAAGACCAGATTCGTCTGCGTTGTAGATGTGGTCTGCTTTAAACTTGTATTTGGTCCTAACTTCTTCCAAAATTGTAAAAAAAAAATTCGACAGCGATCTTATTAAATCCTCGTAGCCATACAATTAAAGTCGCTTCAGGATTTCTAAGGCTTAACTTGTTACGTGAACTAGAAGATTTGAACCAATCAGTTCAGGATGCTTTTGTTTCCTTGTTAAACCTGTGTTCTATATTATTCACTTCAGCATATTAATATGCGAGTTTCCGAACTTGCGAGGAAGTTAATCCAAGGTATTGTTGGTTACATTTTGTTAGGTAGCTAACAAATTCTTTCGTCTGTTCGCCTGGAGCATCTCTTTTTAAGTATCTTCATAACGTAGGCTCAGGAATATCGTAAGTTATTGCAGCTGTGTTACAACTTAAAGATCCTTTGCGTACTTCCCTCAAAGCTGCTGCAAGGGAACCTTCACTCCACTTCCTACGATTGGTTTTGCGCTTGTACACCCGCGGCATTCTGTAAAATAATACTGACCTTTGCTTGGGGTAAGATGACGAGTTCGTCATCTTACCTCCGTTATTTTACCCCCGTGTGTGAATTGATTAAATGTCGATGCTAAAATGTAAACAAAAACAAAACTTCAACAATTGTAATGGCAATACCTATTGGTACCTATTAAAGAATTGTTGATAACACATTGGATTTGTTTACTTGCCTGAGAAAGGCACAAATCGTTAATAAATTTAGAAAATATTACAAGCCATGCTATAAAAATCGTTGTTGACGTATCACTGGTGCAGTAATGAGCGGGCAGGACAACTGCGCATCAATTTTAATGCGGCACATTTGTACCTAGATGGCACTTCAAAAATTAATTATGTTATTTAAATATAGAAGTTCGTCATCTTACCCCGTTCGTTATCTTACCCTGATCTCCCCTACTTCTCCGGAGAAAAATTAACAAATTTTAAAGGAATAAAATAACTAATAATAATACCTGCCTAAATTATTAAAAGATATATTTTGTGTCATAAGATATTATCTATTAAGTTTGGTAAATTTGATAATTACCAAAGATCGTTTCTTAGTAGATCTAAAAGTTAGCATAATAATTATAAAGTCGGCATATAGGGAATACCGATTGCTTATAGAGTGATGACGTAGATACTTAAGTGTTTGGAGCTGCAATATTTCATTATTAAATAGTTCTCCAAAGAGTGACAGGTACTAAATTTAAAATAAAATCGTATTCGGCAATTAAAAAAATATATTCAAAAAAATGAATTTTTGTCCGAAAATAAAAAAACGGAGGGTAATAGGGAATTTTCATATAGGGTCATATGGAATAGATTCATATACGCCAAATACTTTAAAACTTTATATAGTACTGTCACGTTAAGTGGCTTGTTAGGCAAACCAATTAATCGTGGGGTACGCCACTGCGTATTTCGGATCGCCCAAACGATCTTCCAGTTGAGGAAGATCTTTGCGCCACCCGAAAATACTCACTGGAGAACCTTTCTTATGATTTATTACGCTTGGCTTGGCTTTACGCTACTTGGGAAGGAATAAAAGTCACTGCATAAAAAACTACAAATCTTTAATAAATACAAACTAAAATCACCTGAACCGTCCAGAAATCCCCAATATAATAATACACCCCAAATATACAATATATATATACTATAAAGACTTTAAAGAACCAACTAGTTACTTTTCTCAGAAATACCTTTTTTATTTTATTTTATTTTATTAGATTTATAAAAAACCTTACCACATATTTTAACAGCAAGCTGGAATGTCACGACTTTATTTTTATTTTTATTTTTATTGCTGTAATACAGCATAGTATTACCTACTGCCGATTTTCGTCACAGCCGAAGAACTTATAGCCTCGGTTGTGCCAAAAATGTTGTTATTTTTTGTTTTGTCAATTTGGCTAGCTGACCCTAACATTGTTTTGAAATTGTAGAATCAGCATAACCGAATTGAGTGCATTGTTTATTTTCAACATAAAATAAAGTTTTTAATTACTAGACGAAAAGATTGTTATTGTTTTAAATAACTTTAAATGTAATATTAAACACAAATTGGAATTGAATGGAAATTAAAAAGATTGAAATAAAATTATATTTTTGGAAATGGCTTTATTAAAATTTAAGTTGAAATATATTTTTGGAAAGTACTTTATTTTATCTTTAATAAAAATCTAATTATTTTTAAATGCAATTCGTGACAATACATTATTATTCGCACCTCATTGTTTTTGTTCTTTCCGCAAAGCAATAGCCATAATTTCGGTACAGTAAAAATTTTAATAAATTTTTACTCGTGGGTAATATGGGATAGCAATAAGGCGAGAAATGTGAAATATTCCATATTAGCCGCTCCACAAAATTAAAAAAAAACTAGTTCTCTATTTGTTATTATAAAAAATATGGAACCAAATTGTCAAGATTTCCACTACCTTATGCCTAAACAAACTCACCATGCTTTTAAACAAAATTTATTATTTTGCGTTTTGCGACATTGGTAGCGTACGAGGGTGGTTTGACAGAAGAGTGACTTTTCAGAGGTTGACAACACTTTCGCTACGGTGATTTTATTGGTAGTTTCCGCCTTAGACTAAATAATAAAGAAATGACGCCTAACAAGTATATCGAACACACGTACACTGTGCCGATTATCTATTGGCAGCCACTATTTTGGTGCTTAGCATTTCGGTGACACCGAAGGTTTTGTACGTGTTTATTTATAATTTTTGAATTAAACGACATTTAATAATTGGTTTATTACAATGGTTTATTGTGAGGTATATCAGGGTAAAAGTTATAGCGGCAAGAAAGAAGCAATTACATTTCACAGGTAGGTAAATGATAAACATCAATCCTTTTTACTTTATATATTTTCTTATATTTTTCATTTAATTTGGTGTTACACAACTTGGTATTTACATATTGTACATGTCTCACTCCAGGGTAATACATTTTACTCACCAAGTTTGTTTATTTTATGTTTTTTTATTGATATTTAAGCAATTGATGATCTTAAAATGACCAAACAAGTAATTTTTTTCAATGGCGTGTAGAACAATTCTAAATATTAACTTTTATTAAATTCTAATTTAGGTTTACTTTTTATTTAATTGCAGCATTGTTTATTTGTTGTTTGATTTTAGATTCAAAAAAAAAAATCTTTGGATTCAGGCAACGAAAATTTCAAATTGGATGCCTACGCCAAATGATAAATTGTGTTCAAAACCTTTTGAAAGACATTTTTTTATGGGGTAAAAGACGTTTACTAAATGGAGCAGTTCCCACTGTATTTCCTGAATTCCCTAAATACATGCAGCCAAAGAAGGTGCCTATACTAATAAATATAGTAGTCACGTATTCATTTAGTTTTTTAAACGAGTTTCCATCAAGTAAATAGACGGATTAAACATGTCTAATACGGTTTGTCTTAAAGACGTATAGACGTATAGACTCCTTGTTTTGTAACAATGTACGTTCTATAGATGCCTTTAAAAAATCTTCTGGATATTAGCGTACATCTTCAAAACGTCACGAACGTCGTTGAACAAACGTCTTTAATATGTCTTTAAAACGTGTCTGTGCTATCTGAGTAGTGTCATTATTAACTAAAAATAAATCCTTTTTGTAATACATGTAGATCATTATGTTTTATTTTGCGGAATTTAAAAACAAACACTCATTTTATTATGTAAACGATTTCATTCAGTTTATTTCAATATATTTTTTTTCTTGAGTCTTATTTATTGTTACTTAT